CAAAAATCAAATCTGGCAAGAGAAGTTACATCATTATTGACCTTGATGTAAGTCAGTTAGTTGCTTCTGATATGGTAAAAACTCAGCCCACCTGGATAAACATCAACTATTAATGATCTCAGAAGTTTAATTACACATTGCATTTATGCTTTATAGCTGATCACCTGGCCCAGTTAGTATGGATTTTTTTCATTTAGAACATAAAACAATATATTTTGTTTTTAACGTTTTCCTAAAAAGTAAGTTATGCATGTGTACATAAAATGATCAGTTGGTTAGTCTAGAGGATTCTTATGGGATTTCTAAAAATATAATTGTATACAATGAAAATATGGTGTTTCACACAAAGTAGAATTTTCTTATTTTTTGTAGTTTAAAAATAAAATATTTAATTTGTGTTTTCTTTTAAAAACATTCACCTCAAGAAAATCTGAAATAACCATTAGCATTAACATCAGCAACATTAAATATTGTGAAATTATATTTGTTTAATATTTGTACATTTATATTTTGATTCCCTCTATAGCTCCAGATAGGTTTTTTTTTCTCCTGGTAGCTCCAATATAGAAATGTACTTTTATTTGGAATTCATTATCATCTTTTATCTATAAACCCCTAATCCACCTCAACTGTTATTTCTATAGCTGGTCAGTGGTCATAAATAGATATAAGAAGATGTGGTATGAGTGCCAATGAGACAACTCTCCATCCAAGTCAAAATTTATAAAAGTAAACCATTATAGGTCACAGTACGGTCTTCAACACAGAGCCTTGGCTCACACCGAACAGTAAGCTATAAAGGGCCCCAAAAATTACTAGTGTAAAACCATTCAAACGGGAAAACCAACGGTCTAATCTATATAAAAAACGAGAAACACTTATGAACCACATCAACAAACGACAACTACTGAACATCAGATTCCTGACTTAGGACAGGTGCAAACAAATGCAGCGGGTTTAAATGTTTTAATGGTACCAAACCTTCACCCTTTTTCTGAAACAATAGTGTAACATCACAACATAGAAAGACACACTATAAAATATCAACTGAAATAGCTTAACTCAATCAAAGGACATATGAACACCATTGAACATACACTGAACAAATAAATTTGACCTATAATACAATGTAAATACAAAATAAATAAACTAAGAGAAGAATAATAAAAGTAACATGTTATATCGGTATGAAATGTTAAACAATTAAAGAAAAGCAATATGCTGGAACAAAAATATCAGCCATTTGCAATAACTTTAAACACAGGTAAATAAAAATAATTTTGTTGTTAGGTAAAGCTATTAAATGATTCTATTGATTAACCACAAAATACTGCCTACATGTTTTAATATTGGTGCATATGTTTATAAAACTAATTATCATCAAAACTCATTAACAGTACAAGATATGGAAACATATTTTTCTTCTGTAGTTTAGGAATATTAAGAAGTATACAAAAACAGCTGAAAATGAAATTTTAATAAAATTTAGTTGTTTTTGTATAGTGCTACTTATTGATCTATTATCTATTCGATGTCATTTTTATGTGTACTAAAATATTACAGAATATTATATTTACTGAGATAAATATGTAGTATTGAGTATTTTGGGGTCAATAAACATTGTGTCCTAGGTTAGGACTAGTTTAACCCCGCCACATTCTGTATGTGTCTGTCCCAAGTCAGGAGCCTGTAATTCAGTGGTTGTCGTTTGTTGCTGTATATCACATTTGTTTTTCATTCATTATATTATACATAAATCAGGCCGTTAGTTTTCTCATTTGAATTGTTTTACATTTGCCATTTCAGGGCCTTTTATAACTGACTATGCGGTATGGGTTTTGCTCATTATTGAAGGGCGTACAGTGTCCTATAGTTGTTAATTTCTATGTCATTTGGTCTCTTCTGGAGAGTTATCTCATTGGCAATCATACCACATCTTCTTAATTTTATATCGTTTCCACTTAATTCGAGTCATTTTGAGAACTTATATTTCTGAGTTATAGTTTGAATTCTTAATGAACATCCCCAATTTTTGCATTGCACCTCAACAATGTTTGCATACTTGCATTGCGCCAGGTGCCAATAGGAGTAGGTTTGATAATGCCACAATATGGTGTTGTAGCTTGTATTTCAAATAAGTATGTATTGGCCATTATCATAATGAATCAATGACTAAATAGAAACAGCCTTTTATCCAAAAGTTAGGTATTAGCGTTCTTTTCATGATGTCGCATCATAATAATTGATTTTTCCATGACATTCAATGAGAACTTGTTAATTTCTCATGTTTTTATACTTCTGTCATAGACTGGACATATTATGGTTTACCACAGTCGTCTGTTGGTCAACGCTTTGTAAGATAAATTAAATTTACTTTAACAATTCCAATGAAATTTTAACGCAACATAAGGATTGATGGAAGAAAGTTGTCTTTTGATTAAAAAATTTCAGTTACCGGACTGTAACCCCTAGATTTATGGCAATTTTTCACATATTGTGCACTAACTCCAGTATGCTGGGATTGATTTCCTCAAAACCTTAGGCTATTTTTGGTATTAATGAAAAGAAGCTCTCTTTAGAGTTTTTAAATTTTCTGGTTTATCATTCAAGAGTTACAGGACTTTGACTGTCAGATTAAAGTAAAATTAAGAAAGCATCATTATGAAAATTTTCCTATTTTTCATTGAAGAGTTATGGTACTTTGATTGTCAGATTTATAAAAGGCAATTTTTTTAATGTCATTCACTTGCACTAGTATGCATTTATCAATTTACTACAAACTTACACTGTTGTTTGTATTTGTGAATTTAGACTATATATTTTATTTTGAAAATTTTCTTTTTTGCCGTTTCAGAGTTATGGAACTTTTAACAGTCAATTTGACCCAATATTTATAGTCTAAAGATATCCTCATTTTTTTTTTTTACGGAGCCATTTTACTAACTTCTCATTAGATCCTTCTAAATATTTCTTTTTATTCTCGCAACAATTGTATTTGCACAATACGGGAATAAAATGCGCTTTTGTCGCAGCTGCTTATTAGTCCCCTACCGACGAAGTCGTAGGGGACTTAAGGTTTGCACTCTGTCCATCTGTCCATCCGTCAGTCCGTCTGTCCATCCGTCAGTCCGGCAACTCAGTTTTCCACACTTTTTTTCTTCGTTTTTGAAGATATTGATTTGATATTTGGTATATATTTTTATCATGACAAGTTATAGATCAAGTTCGAATTTTGTTCCAGTCTGATGATTTAGTCTAGAGTTATGGTTCATAAAAAAACTCCATAACTAATGTTAGAGTACTATGTTAAACCATATATCTGTACAAAGGGAGATAACTCAATTTTTAAAGGACATTCTTTGGTAAATTGTTTGAGGAATTTTGTGGCAGGTTAATATGTTATTTTGTATAAACTAATTTTCTGAATGCTACATGTCTATACCATATATATATATATTTTTTTTATTAAGTGAAATCCTTTAATTAGATAATAATCTATTTTTTTTTTAAGGTATATATTTCATTACATTACATTGTGTAGATAAAAGTTGTTGACATTTTATAGATAAGTTACAAATCTATATTAGTTTGTGAAAAATGAAAGAAAAAATATTTGGAACTATTAATTATATTTGATTGTAATTTGAAAATAGATACACATTGTATTACATCATATCTATATTAGAGAACTACTAATCATATCTTATGCTAGAGTATTATAGGTTTTCTACACTTTTTTATACGCCCGTTTACGGGAAGTATTATGGTATACCGTTGTCCGTCCGTCTGTCTGTCCATCATCAACATGACGGACAATAACTCAAAAACACTTTAAATAATATGCATGAAACTTTGGTGAATTGTTTATATCTATTGACGTGAGCTCCCTTTCGTTTTTTATAAATTTCAGATTTACCGTTTCTGAGTTTGGGGTTTTATTCATTAAAAAAGGGGGGATTTTCCAGTTTTCCAACAATAACTCAAGAATGCTTTCACCAACTTTCAAGAAATTTTGGTGAATTGTTTATATTTAAAGACATGACCTCCCTTTCGATTTTTATAAATTTTAGATTTTACGTTTATGAGTTACAGGGTTTTATTCATTAAAAAAGGGGGGATTTTCCAGTTTTTGGACAATAACTCAAAAATGCTTTAAGCAGTTCGCATGAAAATTTGGTGAATTATTTATAGCTATTGATGTAATCTCCCTATTGATTTTCATAAATTTCAAATATGACATTGAGAAGAAATTGAACTTTATTTGTTTATAGTCTGAAAACAGATTTACTAAGTATTCCACAATAGCACAGTGTATTGCACAACAGCAAGAAATCTTTAATTGAATATAAATTCAATTCATATAACCAATTTCAAGTTCTTTGACTACATTTATTCAGAAACCTATAATATGTCAAATATTTAATTACAATCCAAATTCAGACCTGTATCAAGCTTGAATATTGTGTCCATTTTTGCCCCAACTGTTCAGGGTTGGACCTCTGCGGGCGTATACAGCTGCGCTCAGCGAAGCAGTTTATTTCATCATGCTTGAAGATATTGATTGACAATTGGTATATAGTTTTATCATGACAAGTTACAGATCAAGTTCAAATTTTTGTTTCAGTCTGATAATTTTGTGCAGAGTTATGGTCCTTGGACTTGAAAAAAATCACTCATATATTCAGTTTTCCACACTGTTTTTAGTCATGCTTGAAGATATTGACTTGATATTTTCTTTTTGTTTACACCATGACAAGTTACAGAACAACTATGTGCTCTATGTTTGTCAGGCCTAAATGTAGCTAAAATCCAGATGATTTTGTCAGCTTTCGCCGCCATCTCTATTTTTTGACTTTTTTGGTTGTAAATGTCAATCCTTGTTAGAAAAGCTAGAAAAACACAGTTCTGTTTCACTTTCTTATGTGTCTATTCATCCACTTGATAATATTATTATTCTGACATTTTCTGACATTTCAAAAATAATTTGTTTTCTGTTTTAGGTACCAACATCAAAGTTTCATGAACTTAGATACAATGTGGCATTTGTTCTGAAAGAAATGGAGGACATTGAACAAAGAAATATTTTAAAAATTCAAGATTAACAAACCAGTGTATGCCATGATATACTGTTGTGTAATACTCAGGATCAAGAATGTCTATTGCAATTAACTGGAAACATTCATGTTTTTAATATTTTATAGATTTTAACCCTGTCAAACTGTTTTTTGACAGGTAAAGATGTCTATTTTAATGTGACCAAATTGACAAAAGCTTAAAGTGCACTAAAATTGAAAATATTTAATGATTACCCTATATATTGCTGAATGATCTTTAAAAAGTTTTGAAATTTGAAATTATTTTTAATCATTTAAAAGCAGAATTGAGACTTGGGAACATTCTAGTGAGAGTGTCAGAGGTTTCCACAGTTGTGATATGGTTAGGTTAAGAAGAACCGCTAATGGTAAGACGAGGGACTTCTGACATGTACACTTTTAATTACGTGTTAAAACATACGATTAGGTTAGTTTAAGGGGAACCACTAATGGTAAATCTATGATATTTGTAATGCAGTTATATTAGCATTGGCACATCTCAGTTCAATAGAGATTACTTATTCTTACTTCTCCAAAGATGGTTCAACTACTTTGAAAATTCTGCATTGCAATTATATCTGATTTGGTCAGTTTAAGCGGAACCACCTATGGTTTGTAAATGATATTTTGTATGCAGCTGCACATCGAATTTCTTTGCAGATTAGGTTGCCCTGCCACCTAAATTACATGTACTGTATTTTAGATGTTCGTCCTTCATTTTGACGATTGAAGAGATTGCCATACAGCGTTTCCATTTAAATTTCAACGTTTGCATTATACATTCGTAGAATCAAAATTACACATGGGTGAGACATATATATCTTTTGCAATATTGTAATAATCTTTATTCTTTCTTTTTTTGATCATGCTGTCATTATTTGAACCTTTATTGTATAAATGATTTTATTATTTGAACCTTCATCATGTATACATGATTTTGTGCACTAATATTCATAGAAACACTTCAGTGTAGACAATACTTAAGCAATAAATAATGAAATAATTTTTATTTATTTTTTTTACAAAGTTTCTCTTACTGTAATCCAAGGAATAGAACTGATCAAGGTATAAAACTTACTGTCAAGATTCTCCTTTGTAGGTTTTTGTGTATGTAAAAAGGGATTCTTTCAGAAAAGTAATTTTATACTGTGAAATTTATTGGGTTAGAATTAAAAGCATTTAAAAATTATTCAATGCCAAACTTACATTGATATGTCTTATATTTATATCATTTATGGGGTGTAATACCACCATTGATTTTCCCCTATTAGTCTTTGTTAAATTTACACTTTTCAAAAAATTGTGCAGAATTTATCTTTGTTTCAAATAAAGAAATACTTGGCATGAGTAAAGTTTTATCCTGTCCAGTACTAAAGACAAAATTTCACATAACATTCCATTGCATTTAAGAAAATAACCATCACTGGAAGTTAACCAATCAAATTTTCACCCCTCTTTTTCTTGTGTGCAAGCTTTAGTAACCATGTAACCTCAAGTTTCCAAAATATTCTATAGAAACACCAAATAAAAAAATAATGGTGCTTTGAAACACCCAAGATAATAGTTTATGACTCAGAAATCTTTTACTGCAATGAAATGTAGGATTAATTTCCTACAACCGTCAAATTCACTGGAATATTTTTTTCAACCCTTTTTCGTATGCAACCGGATGTGACTTACTATGATTTGGTGGTATTACACCTTGACATGTATTTTTCATAAATGGTGACAACGTTTCCTTAACAACAATGACGGACGATAAACTTATTATTATTAAAATTACTGTGGAATTTGTTTAAGAAATAGAGAACACTAATACTAAAAGAAAATCTGATATTGACATAATAATATTCAAGGACTATAGTTTTGAATGGTTAGGAAGCTTCTTAATAATGATGTTATTTCAGTGGCGGACAAACATTGTAGGATCATACCAGACAGAATGATATTTTTTTTTCCTTCTTTTTTTTAAGCATTTGTATAATATGTGATAAATAGATTATAACATGTCCTTTTCCATGTGGGCAAGATCTTAATAAGCTCAGATAAAAAAATTCTATGGAAATCATCTGTAACACAGAAAAAGGGGGTCAATGCTCTTAAGTGCCTTTTAATTCATATATTTAATTTTTGTCTCACCTTGATGGAGTCAAAAAGTGTGACAGATATGCTGTTTTTCAGCTTTGGTGGTTGCAGTGGCGGCGTCAGCAATGAATTAGTTTGTGATTAGGTCAGTTTATGGGGAACCACTAATGGTAGGTCGATGATATTTGGTATGCAGTTGTATAAGCATTGGCACATTTCACTTCGATGGAGATTATTTGGCCCTGCCCCCTTAGTCATGGTCTATTGATTTTGAAACTTTTGCTTAGTTTACATGTATTAGTTTGTGATTATGTCAGTTTATGGGGAACCAATAGTGGTAGGTCAATGATATTTGGTAAATTGATATGCACTTGTATAAGCATTGTTACATCTCATTTCCATGGATATTATTTGGCCCTGTCCCCCCTGTCATGGTCTATTGATTTTGAAACTTGTGCTTAGTTTACATGTATTAGTTTGTGTTTATGTCAGTTTATGGGGAACCAATAGTGGTAGGTCAATGATATTTGGTAAATTGATATGCACTTGTATAAGCATTGTTATATCTCATTTCCATGGAGATTGTTTGGCCCTGCCCCCTCAGTCATGGTCTGTTGACGTTGAAACTTTTGCTTAGTTTACATGTATTAGTTATTGTTTATGTCAGTTTATTGGGAACCATTAGTGGTAGGTCATTGATATTTGGTATGCACTTGTATTAGCATTGGCACATATGATTTCCATGGAGATTGTGAGGCCATGTACCTTCAGTCATGGTTCATTGACTTTGAATAGTTTGCATAACTTACATGTAAAAGGTATTGCTATGTTAATTTCAACATTTGCATTTTACTATCAAAATAACAAAAAGGCGAGACATTTCTCTACATTAACAGTTTATTTAATCTAAAATACATATTTACACGCTACCTTAATACACAAATGTTTAAATAACAATTCAGCTAAAAGATGTTTTGGACTCTTCGAAAACGAAATGCTATATTAATGAGAACATCATTAAAGGTATCTCTAAAGTAAAGTTAACCAGACTACAACTTTTGGATTACAGAGCTTAAATTTATGCAAAAAAGTTTTTGAATGTTAATGAACCTCTGGATATTGAAGGAGCACTCCCACTGGGAGTAAATTAAAAATACTTTTAGATTTGCATTGGCATAAATGCAAGTGTTATCCATAGGCAGATAAGCTAGATAGGTAATGAAAATCTAAAAAGCTCATAGTTCCATTGTTATTGATTTCAGAATCAAATGACAATAAAATTTCTCTATAAGTAACATGTATATGCTGGAACTATTATACAGGTATATGTAAGACAACAAAATGGTTATATAAAAAGAGAGATTTTGCCGTCTTAAAAGATCAACACATTGTACAAAAAAGAGTAAAATAACAAAAATACCAAACTCCAAGGAAACTTCAAAACGGAAAGACCTTTATCAAACGGCAAAATCAAAAGCTCAAACATATCAAACGAATGGAAAACCACTGTCATATTCCTGACTTGGTACTGGCATTTCCTTATGTAGAAAATGGTGTGGGTTAAACCTGGTTTTATAGCTAGCTAAACCTCTCACTTGTATGACAGTCACATAGAATTCCATTATAGTGACAACAATGTGTGAGCATATCAATGATCATAATTAATGTCAACACAGAAGTGCTGACTACTGGGATGGTGATACCCTCTGGGAGGAAACCTCCACCAGCGGTGCATCGACCCAGTGGTTGTCTGCAACCTACTGCAGAAAAGTCCAAACAACACTAAGTAGCTTTTCTTTGTTCAACCCCTTTTCCATATACATGCTAATTCTGTCTAAACTATCCAACTTCTTACAGTACATCACAAATATTTAAAAAGCACGAAGACTACAAGGTGATACTGAATTTTGCTTTAGCACTTCGAAGCGAATAAGTGCAAGATACCAGCTAACAAGTTCTGGCTTTTTCATATCAATTTGGTAATTTTGAATTTGAGATACAGGATACAACAGATAAAGTTAAGTCCGTCTCATATCTTGACTTACATCTAGAAATTGACATTGATGGTCGGTTGAAAACAGAACTTTACAACAAAAGAAATTATTTCAGCTTCCCAATTGTGAACTTCCCATTTATATGTAGCAACATTCCAGCAGCACCTGCATACGAAGTATATATCTCCCAGTTGATATAATACTACAGGGCTTGTATTTCCTATCATGATTTCCTTGATAGAGGGTTACTGCTCACAAGGAAGGAGGATTTTGAAAATAGATAACTCAGCCTTGATAATAACAAAAAAGATTGGTTTGTTCTGTGGTAGTTTGAAAATAAATAACCTGACCTACAATGTATCGAAAATAAATAACTCGGCAGGTCTTTTAAACCATTTTATAAATGCATGTTTTAAAGTATGAGATGGCACCAGATTCTACCAAAATTCGTCTTTTTTCATATGTTTTTGGTACGTATGCAATATATGCAGTTTTGAATTCAGAAGATTCACTTCCAGAGGATGATGATTATTTTGGATTAAATGGTACATAATGTATTTCATCTCATCGAATTATATTAAAAGCAGTCGGGTCCAGGATCAATCCAGTATATCTTATTATAATCCTTTGTAATAAATTCCCTTTTCTACAAAAATGTATGTACATGTATCTAGAGTTATATAGAATTGGTTTACTCAATGTATTATAATAATTTTTCTTTATGGAATACGTTTTTCAGCATTTATTTTTGTATTTTTAACGAAACTCACATGTGCTTGTAATTTAAATAGCGTGTGTATTCTAGAAAAGAATCACAGAGCTGAGTCTGTGTTCCTTATTATATAAAAGGTATTTCGGTTAAGGCGGTATGGACCTAGGCCTATCCTCATCGGGTATCCCTGGCAATATGGTTTCCTTTTTGTAATATTAAGATTTGTTAGAATTTGATTCTTACGTATGGGGATACTAAAGGTCATAATGTGTACATTTCAAATATCAAATTCCTGTTATCCAAAAATAAGTTGGATGGGGTTATTATCCAGTTTCTAGACATAACTGTCTTCAAAGACGAAAGATTTAAAAACAATCTAATTTTAGACATTAAACTATATAGAAAACCAACTGATAATTTTCAATATCTTGAACGAACATCAGCCCACCCTACGTCAGTATTCAAAGGCTTCATAACTGCAGAAATTATTCGCTTATTAGGTCTTGCAACAACTGAAAAGACCTCTATGAAGAAGTTCAACTTTTTAAGTCTAAACTTCTTAAAAGAGGACATTGCGAAAATGAGATCGACAATACATGTATTGTAACAATGACAAGAAAAAAGAAAAAAAACTAATCTTTAAAATATAATTATAAAAAATAAGAAAGCGGCTCCACCACTCGTTTATCCAACAAGACTTAATCCGGTATTTAAAGGAATCGGCAGAGCTATAAGCAAAAATTGGCACATTATCGAACAAAACAGAAAAGCAAAAATACTATTTCCAAAACCTCTGATTTTTGCATACAGAAGACAAAAACATCTAAAAGAGTATCTAACACATTCAAAAATAAAAAAGATATATTAAGATAAAATCAAACAAAAGATAAAATATCATGCATAAAGAAAGAAAGAGAGAAACGAATGTATAAACAGGTGTCGTATTCCCATACGTAAAAATCAAATTCGAAAAATTCTTAATATTACAAAAAGGAAAACATATGGCCTCCTAGGGATACCTGATAAGGATAGGCCTAGGTCCATACGACCTTAACCGAAACCTTTAGTATATAATAAGGAACACCGACTCTGCTCTGGATTCATTTCTAGAATACACACACTATTTAAATTACAAGAACGTATGAATTTCTTTAAAAGTACAAAAATAAATGCTGAAAATAGTATTCCATAACAAATAAAGAGCTGCGCCATG